TTTTCTTTGAGTTATTTTTTAGAACCTATCTTTCATGTGAAGGATTTTCCTGAGATGGCATGGCTGTATTCCTTCCGTGGAAGGAGGCACTGGGCTGCCAGTCGGGAGGTCTGTGGACTTGGCAGCACTGTTTCAAGTCACGGCTGAGGGACTGGTTGGGATGGAGCTGTTTCTTCGGGGTATCTTCAAGTGTCAGTATCTAGGGTCATTTTTCTCAGTGATTTTGCTCCAGCAAGGCATTCTCTAGTCTCCTCCTGGAAGGTGTAAGTCTGACTACAGCATTCTGGCAGCCAGATGGGGAAGGAGCTTGGTGGTTATCTCAGCTTTCCTTGTGTAGACTTTCGTTCGTTCTTTTCTCTGTGGGCCCCTCTGCCTTGGACCTCCCACCGTGCCTGCTGTTCCTGGGCCAGGTCTCCTGGGTCACCCTCTCCAGCGAGTGACCCCAGTCCTCTGCCAGGCAGGGAGGTGGCCGTGGCTCTGCTCTAGAGGGTTGGGAAGGGGATCTGGGGTCTGATGACGTCTTACAGACTTTGAAACAGGCTCTTGTCTTCAGTCTTCCTGGCACCCAGGCCTCCAGGGGTCCCTTGGGTTTCCTGAGCGTTTCCAGTGTCCCTCTTCTGGGTGGTTTCTCTCTGCATGACTGGCTCTCAGCATTCAGTGCTGTAGTAAGTCAGCTGCTACTCGATCATCTGCTTTCCAGCTTCTAGAATTTTGCTGACATTTTTCATCTGCCATCATCACCTCTCCCTTGCCCCTTGCCCCTGTGGATTTATGCCTTGTTTATGTCTTTCCTGTCATCTTAGTGGGGTTCTGGAAGGGAGTGGAAATAACTCTGTATCTGCTCAATGGGCCATGTTTTTCTAGAAGTCCATTCACAAGGGTTTAAGCAGAGACATGACCAGGTCCATTGTGGACGTGAGAGCGAGGACCCTGGCCTCTGATAGAAGTGGGATTATTGGGTGGAGAGGGGGACTAGAAGCAGGGAAGTGTTGACTTTGATGTTTAAGACCCTGGACTCTGGCCCAGGCATCTACCCGTGTTGGCAGACGAGTTACACTAACCCTTAAGCCTCCAAGACCAGGGATAATGATGGGACTGTGTCCTGGGTTGCTCTGAGGATTAAATGAGGAGGCATGTGAAGTGTGTAGCACAACGCTGGCCACATGCTTTGCATTCAGTGCCTGGTGACTGTTATCGCTGCTACCAAGCAATGTGATAAGGAGCTGAAGCAGGGACGTGGCCTGGCAGGGACAGCCTGTCAGAAAATGATTCCAAGGGTCTGTCACCTCCCCCTTGGGGGCTGAAAATGAGAGAAGGGCTGGGAAATCAGAAGGGCAGCCGCCCCTGAAGCACCCTGAGGGCTTTTTCCAGCTGCCCCCGCCCATGGTGCTGCCCAGCACCCTGGCTTCAGGACAGACAGACACATGCATCTCTGTCTTCATTTGGCTGCTGGAATGCGTGAGGGACTTGCCTTGGGGCCTGGGGCGAGGGTGGGAGGAGAAGGTCAGAGCCTGAGCCAGCCAGGGCCTCCCAGAACCTTGGCACCAAGAAAAGCCGGACAGAATGCTGGCAGAGAGAGAGACAGACACGTGGCCAATGAAGGGAGCTGGGGAGGGAGGGGAAGTTCCTCTCCCCAAGGGTGGCTGCACTCTCCTCTCTCCATCCCGGAGGGCCAGGCAGGCTGGGACAGAGGGTGTTGTACCAACCTGTCCCCCAGCCCTTCGTCTCCTTGCTGGAGGTGGATGGAAGACAGGACAGGCCCCGCCTAGACAGGATGGGGGCCGGAAGGGCAAGATTCACAGAAGGAAAGCACCAAGCGGGGTCTGGTGGTGTTTCTAGGGTTTGGCGGCATCTCAGAGGCACTCAGACCACCCCCCGTTCCCCCTGGACACGACACACCTTTGCTTCCTGCAAATAGGTATTCATCAGGCCACACAGACCCAGACGTTAGCGGATCCCACTTGGTTTCAGACTGTGCTGACGGGAAAGTGGTAGGGGAGCCAGTGTCCCTGTCCTTAAGCCCCTCACCACCTGAGGAGGGCAGACATGTGACAAGTCCGGGTGATTAGCACTGTGGCAGACAGCCCTGTGGAGTTCTGTGGGAATCTGGAGAGAGGCAGAGACATCATCTCTGAGAAGGAGCCCCAGAGCTGCCCTCTAAGGACTAAGGGAGCATCATGAGAAAGAAGGATGCTCTAGGTGGGTGCATGGCGTGGTCCAGGGCTGGCAGTGCGGGAACGTGGGTGGGATGGAGAATCATCAGGAGTTGGTAGTCAGACTAGAGGAAAGTTTCAACAAGACTGTGTTCACTGGCCAGTCCAAGAGGTCCACCTGAAGAACCTGAAGAGCCTTTCTGGGCCGAGTGTCACTTTAAGGGACCTTGCCATTTCATAACGGACCTCTCTTTTCATGAGCTACTACTTGGACATGGAGCCAGGGAGGGAAGGCCCTGCTTGCTCATGTCTTTGCAGCCAGGGTTTCCGCAGGGAGAGAGGCAGGCCTGATCCAGTATCAGGCCCTTGTCCCCAGCATCCGGTGACTCCACGACCAGCCCCCAGCGGTGGGAAGGGGAGGGGGCACACAGGTCTCTCCCAGGTGATGGGTAGCCCCTTGCAGTCCTTGAGGTTGGAGTGGCACTTCCGACTGGAGCCATTCACTGTCTGCTCTGACCCCATTTGGGGCTGCCCAGCCCTGCTATAATTAGAGGGGAAGGGCTGACGTGTATCAGCAGCTTGAGAAGCCTGGCCGTGAGCCAACCAGAGGAAGGAAGGGCCGGCTGCCGGCCACCCGCCCGTGTAACTTTTCCCAAGTAGATGCTGCTATTTATACCTCTGTTGCTTGGGATCACATAGGCTGCCTCAGCCTCTTGTAGTTGAGGATATGAAGGCTCAGAGAGGGTGAAGGATGGCCCAAGGCCACACAGCATCTGAAACTGGGCTGAGTAGAACTTGGGTTTGTAACTCCCAGTCAGCATCTGGGCCAGAATGTGGCTCTGATTCAGGTGGTGGGTCCTTTAAAGATCCCCCACCACCACCAGCCAGAGCCCCTCAGCCTCACACACATATAAGGATGGCCCTGAGAGGCTGTTGCTGCCTGGCTTTCCAGTAGCAGGCTCACAGGAGCTTGATATACGGCATGTCAGCACTGGGTCCTAGCTGGAAAACTGAAGGGCTGGATGTACCCCAGGACCTGCTAGTGTGGGGCTGAGGCACATTGGACCCCAGGCAGAGGAGCCTGGCTGGGTCTGAATCAGCGGAGTGGGTGAACCCCCCAGTCGCATCTTATATTGTGTCCTGCTAGACAAAAAGGAGCCCCAGGGCCAGGTTGACCCTACACAGATGCACACAGACAGATGCACACACACCCACACAGACACCCCCGCAACACACACACCCCTGCACCCCTCAGCTGATGTTCGGCCCCAGGTTGCAGGTCCAGGGAGCCCCAGGATGAGGCGAGCAATCAGAAACCTTCTTGCTCCCTGCCAGACCTCAGCTGCCATGGTTTAGAACTTCTATTTGAGATGAACTGTTTGAGGCAGGCTCATGATCGGATGGGAAGAGCTTTTCACTTAGGGAAGCCCAGCAAGTGGACACGCGGATGCTGGCAGCCTGGCTGGCATCACGTCCTGACCATCTCTGCACCCCCCACATGACCCAGGGCACATGACACACTGCCATGGGCCCTGGATGTGTAAGGAGCTGGTGGTAGTAGGGTCCTCTGCTTGGGGGTTGTGAGGAGCAGATGAGAGAGTCCCCGCTCAGCACCCAGAGCCAGCCTGGCCTGCAGTCATCTAGGGCAGAAGACTGGGTCCCACGCCTGCTCATATGCCCCATGCCCATCTTAGAGGGTCTGTTTCCAGCTAACACAAAGGGTCCAGGTGGCTCTGGGTGGAGAGGGGCCCCCAGGGTCCTCAGCAGGAGTCTAGTCACTGAGGCTCTGGGTGGAGCCCGGGCCCTGCCACCAGCCAGGGGCCTTGGGAGAACACACGGACCACACTCCCTGGCTGTGGGATGTGGCTCCTCTGAAATCTGGACTCCTGGATCCCAGGGGCTGACTGCCCCCCAGCCTCTCCCCACTCGGGCCTGCACGTTGGCCCATTTCTCGAACCCTCCATGTTCTGCAGCCCCTCCGTGGCCCGTCCTGTCTGCTCCTTCCCTCCTGGCCAGACCCCAGTATCCACCAGCTCTGCCCTTCTTCCCCCTGCCTCCCTCCATCCTAACCAGGACCCTCTGCTCATCCCGGCTCCCTGACCCGGCACTAGCCACCCTCCAGCCTCCCAGACTGGAAGACTAGGGGGTTTCTGCCTCCCCCAAGCTGCTTAGCCTGGGATCCCACATTCCACAGATCCTGCCTTCCTCCTGTTGCTGCCAGGAGGGGGCAGGAGAAAATAAGGGAGTGACAGCGGCTGGCAGGCAGGGCTGCCCCGGGCTGTCTCCCAGGTGGGCGGCCAGGTAGGGGGAGCCTGCAGGCCTTGGTCCTCACAGAGATCCCCTCGGTCCCAGCCTGAGGGGGAGGGCTGTTGTATCAGCTGTGATGTGATGCTCTCCAGATCCTGGACTGAGCGGAGGAGGAGGCACTCTGAGCAGGGTCACATGTGGGCTTAGTGGTCCAGAAGACTCCAGAGGGAAGGGCCTCTGGGCTGGATCTTGGGGAGGGAGGCCCCACGGTGGAGGAGTGGGGAGACTGTTGGGAGCAAAAGGGACGGTTTATGGAGAGGCCTAGCCCTGGGGGGTGGGATGAGTTATTTAAATAGGTGGAGTGCCCCGGAGATAGATGGGGAAGACTGGGAGCTTTTCATGCTAGGTTATGTCAAAAAACAGGCCGGGTGAGTAAGGAGGCTGGAGTTTTCCTATTCAGTTTAAAGCTTTAAGCCCCTTCCCGCCTCTCCTGCCCTCCTGGACTGGGGAGGCCTCCTTGCTGGGTCTCTCAGGCTGCCCTCTTTAGAGCCCCAGGGGACAGGCAGCCCCTTACCCCACACTTTTGTCCCATCTCTGCAGCCGTGGGTGGGGCCTGTGCCTGGATGACTCTCCCACCAAGGATGTCATCGACTTCCCTTCCATACCGCCTGGCGTCCTCTACGATGTGGGCCACCAGTGCCGCCTCCAGTACGGGGCCTACTCTGCCTTCTGCGATGACATGGACGTGAGTGTGGTGGGGGTGGGGATGTGTGGACCTGGGGGCGAGGGGCAGCCCTCAGCAGCCTGCAGACCCCTCCAAGCCAGGCTCGGTCCACACATATGCCCATGAGGCATAAAATGGCCTGTGGGAGAGGCCTCAGGTTGGGCGGCCCTAGACCCAGGTGTGCATTCTGGGTGGGCCATTCACCAATGGTGGGACTTTGGGCAAGCCCCTTACCTACTGGGATTTTTGGTGGCTCAGTTGGTAAAGAATCTGCCTACAATGTAGGAGACCGAGGTTCGACCCCTGGGTGGGGAAGATCCCCTGGAGAAGGGAACGGCAACCCACTCCAGTATTCTTGCCTGGAGAATTCCAGGGATAGAGGAGCCTGGTGGGCTATTGTCCACAGGGTTGCAAAGAGTTGGACATGACTGAGCGACTAATACTCTCCTACTGGAGCTGGATTGTAAGAGGTAAAATAAAACCTCTACTGTCAGGTCCTGGGGAAGATCGCCCGAAGTGGTGGCCATGGGCATGTCAGAGACCCTGCAGCTTCTAACCAGGGTGTCTCCGGATGGGGGGGCTGGGGCTGGAGAGGTGTGGGTGAGCTGGGGACTGTGCTGAGGCACCAATCCGATGGTCTGGGGAAAGATAAGAAGGGACCTCTGGGGCTTCCACCTACAGACCCCACCATGTGCCAGCCCCAAGGAGGGATTCCCAGGAGACTTGAGGAGGTGGCGAAGGGGCAGGGCAGGTGGAGGCGTAGGGGAGGAGGTGAGGGTGTGGCCTTTGCGCTCCTCCTTGCAGAACGTCTGCCACACACTCTGGTGCTCCGTGGGGACCACCTGTCACTCCAAGCTGGATGCAGCTGTGGACGGTACCAGCTGTGGGGAGAGCAAGGTAGGGGAGCCCCAGTCCAGCTGCAGAGCAGGTGAGACACCTGCTGCGTGCATGCTCTGGGCTCGGCCTTGGTTCACAGACTCACTTGTGAGTCGTAGCCGACCGTCAGCCCTCTCTGGCCCAAGTTCCCATCTGCAGAATGGAGGCTTTGGGACAGAGCTTGATTGAGCAATTCTCCAAGGTGCCTCCATCCTGGAGAGCCAGCATGTGAGCTCTCTTTTATTCTTTGTTCAACTCCACCGTGGGGCCTGTGTCTTGGGTGACTGGAAGGGGGCCTCCTCCAGCCCTTGGGGTCTTCCCCTCTGGGCTCTTCCAGGCCTTCTACCCACCTTGTTCTCACTAGGGTGAGGAGCTTGGAGTGGGCTTGCTCTGCATTTGTCTGTCTTGGTAGTGGTGTCTGAATGGGGAGTGTGTTCCCATGGGCTTCCGACCTGAGGCCGTGGATGGTGGCTGGTCTGGCTGGAGCGCCTGGTCCCTCTGCTCGCGGAGCTGTGGCATGGGCGTGCAGAGCGCCGAGCGGCAGTGCACGCAGCCTGCGTGAGTACAGGGCACGCGGGGCAGGTGGGGTGGGGTGCCCTGAGCAGAGTCGGCGAGTCAGTCTGTCCCAGTCTCCCACTCTCAGAAGTATCCTCATGAAGGCCAAGCCCGCAGTGTCCAGAGCCACTTCGGGTCACTTCTAGGAGTGCCCTGGAGGCTGGTTGAGTCACCACTGCTGACCCCATTGCAGAGAAGGGAACACCAAGGTTTGGAGAGCAAAACAACTCGTTAGAGGCCACACCACAGAGCAGCAGCTGATGGGTGGGAGGCAGGGAAGACAGTGGCTCAGAGCTTAGACCCTGAACCTTGGGTGGATAGAGTTCAAATCCCCTCTCCTCTCCTCATGCAGCGGCCCTCTCCACCCCTTCTCAGGGTCTCAGTTTCCAGAGAAAGTATATGATGGGCAACAGCAGCGCCCATCCAGTAGAGTTGTCATCATGGATAAATGCAGTAAAGCTCTGCAGCTAATCTGTAGTAATTGCTCAGTAAATAGAGCCATGTAGTGACATTGGAGGGTGCACATGGGTCCAAGATGAGACTGGGGACAGCTGGGAGAATTGGTCAGCTTGGGAGGGGTGCTGTGTGACCTGGGGTGAGTGGCTTCATCTCTCTGGGCCTCATTTCCCCATCTCAGAGAGGTGAGGAGAAGATTCAGGGAGATGCAGAGGTCCCCCTTCTGTGGACCGAGGAGGTGCTGGCACCTTCACCAGGCTGCCCCGGGAGGGGATCATGGGATTCAGAGCCAGGGCCTTGTAGAGCTCCATGCTTATACCCCACCCTGCCTCCAGGCCTCTGGGTCTGAGCAGGGTGGAAGCAGTTGGGGTGGAGTTGGCCTTCAGGCTCTGGGCTGGGCCAGGGCCAAGGGGGCTTCCTTTTGACCTGGGTGGGGAGCTGCCACCAAGACCTAGTCTGCCGACACGTGGGCTGTCAGGACACCGGGTCTCACGGGCTGGGGATTGGGAGTAGCCCTTCCAGCTAGTGCCAGTCACGTCTGTAGCTTAGCCCAGCCTCTCAGTAACCCTCTGCAGAGGCAACCCCAGTCCCATTTTAGAGATGAGGAAACTGAGGACCGAAGGGTCCTGAGACTTGGCCAAGGTCACATAGCAGGTTGGGGGCAGAGCCCAGGCCTCGTGCTCCCACCTTGCCTGAGATCCTTTCAAACAGGGAGACTGAGTCTGGGCTGAGGTGGGGGCAAGGGGGGGCGAGGATGGCTGGTGGGCAGGGCAGCAGGAGTGGAGGTGGGAGCCGGGAATCTCCGGGTGTCGGGGTGCGGAGGAGCTGCTCGCTCCCAGGGCCTGCTTCTGGATTCAGGTGTGCAGTTGGCCCCACTGTCAGCGCTCACTCACCCCCCCATCCCCACCCCACCCCACAGGCCCAAATACAAGGGCAAATACTGCGTGGGTGAGCGGAAGCGCTTCCGCCTGTGCAGCCTGCAGGCCTGCCCCGCCGGCCGCCCCTCCTTCCGCCAAGTCCAGTGCAGCCGCTTTGACGCCATGCTCTACAAGGGCCAGCTTCACACGTGGGTGCCTGTGGTCAATGACGGTGAGTCCAGCTGTCCGCAGGGACACTGACGTCTGGGGGGCGGAGGTCCGAGGACCCAAGGTTTGCGCAGTGACACAGATGCTATCTGCGGGGCTGCCGCTCACTCCCTCCTGGCTCCTGGGGGCAGCCTTGTACACTACCAGCCCAGTGGAGCCCCCAGCCCGCCACTGATGCTCTTCTGGGTGTGACTCCTGCCCTGCCTATCCCTCACGGCTCCTCTGCTTGGGCCCCAGTGAACCCCTGTGAGCTGCACTGCCGGCCCTCGAACGAGTACTTTGCTGAGAAGCTGCGGGACGCTGTGGTGGACGGCACCCCCTGCTACCAGGGCCAGGCCAGCCGTGACCTCTGCATCAATGGGATCTGCAAGGTGTGCCCGGCAAGGAAGAGGACCCCCTCTGCCTTCCTCCTGCTTCCCTCTGGCCACCCGCCCCAGGCTGTGCCACTGGGCTTCCCAGCTCTACCAGTGAAGCCCTTTGAGGGTCTCCCATTACCTCTTAGCAAAGCGCCCCCCAATCCTCCTGGGACCGGACCCACCCCCACACACCATCGGCCTCACCCCCAGCCTCTGTGACTGCACCACGGCCTGCCTGCCGTGGCTTCTGAGATCTGGCCTGGGCCGGCTGGCCCCAGCCCGGAAACCAGAGCTCAGGCGGAGGCTCGACCTCCTGCTGGTTGAATGACCCTGGGCGAACGTTTCCTCTGCGATAAGGGGACTGTTGGTCCAAGAATCCACGTCACAGGGTTAAATGGGGTCACTTATCGGGGATTGCCGTGCAGGGGCTCAGCCTGGCGGAGAACGCATCGGCGTTTGCTGACAATACTTAAAGACATTTCCAGCGGCGGCGGCAGTGGCTGCTTTCCCTGCCAGCGTCCTCTGCACTTTCTTTCCCTGCTCCCCAGAGGGGAAGCTCCTGGGCGTAGAGGCCAGGGCTCAGATGAGGACCAGCAGAGAACATTGATTCGTGTTTGGGGGAAATTGCTGTCCATGCTGGTCAGGAGCCACTGTACGCCCGCTGCCCCGCCTGCTGGGGCCGTTTACACGGTTTTTCCTATCTCTCGTCCCGTTCGATCTCATAGCACATCATGGTGGGGGTGGTTCCTCCTGTTTCACATCTGAGGAAACTGAGGCTCAGAGAGGTCGAGGGGTTTACTCGGGACTGGAGACCACAAGGGTGGTGGGCCCCTGCTCCATGCCCCAAGCACTCTCCTCCCCACCCTGGCAGGCCCCCGAGGCGAGGGCCAGAGAGGGTTTGCGGCCAGTGGCCCAGCACCAGGGGCCTTCCCTCCCGTCCGTTACAGAATGTGGGCTGTGACTTCGAGATCGACTCGGGTGCCGTCGAGGACCGCTGCGGCGTGTGCCATGGCAACGGCTCCACCTGTCACACCGTGAGCGGGACCTTCGAGGAGGCTGAGGGCCTGGGTATGGAGACGGACCACTGGTGGGGGGGCCGGGGGTGCTCTTGGCCTGGTAGCCCTTCTTTGTCTCCCTTGAGCCTCTGCCAGCGTCCTCCGTGGTCCCCACCAAGGCTAGCGATGGGAAGCAGGCACACTGCCTTGCTGGGTCCAGGATCCAGGCAGGAGTCAGGGCCCCCAGGCCTAGATGCAGAGACCTGCCCTCCCAGGGAGTCCGCTTGCCCCAGGGACTCCAGGCTGGGCTAATGAGTGGCCTTATGAAGCTTCAGAGAACCGCCCCCAACAGAGCTCCACTCCCGCACCCCAGGACCTGTTTTGCATACACTGTTTAAGTGTCGACTGTGTGCTGGGTGAGGGAGACACGGAGGTGAAGAGCTTACAGTCTCATCTTGTAGTGTGACAGACGTGGTGAAGGGAGACCCAGAGGGGCTGTGAGAGCCCTGAGGATGAAGGTCCTGACCTGGGGAGGTCCGTGAAGACTTGCTGTGGGGAGTGGAGGTCGAGCTGATTCATGAAAGACTCAGCGAAGATGAGGAAAAACATTACACATGCAGGAAAGAGCTTGTGCCCAATGAAGCCTGGAAGCAAGAAAGAGCATTCTGTCTGGGGACCTGACTGTACAGAAGGCAGGGCTGCCACGGGTCTTTGAATGCGCAGCCAAGCAGCTTAGATTTCATCCCCAGAGATGCAGCCCAGCATGGTGGTTAAAGCTCAGACCTCAGAGCTTGATTCATATCCCAGCAGAGCCCTGGGGCAAGTTACGTAAGGTCTCTGTGCCTTGGTGTCCTCATCTGTAAAATGGGATAGCAGTACTACCTGGTGGTACGTAGGGTGGTTACACGTGTAGGGTTCTTGGGGTAATGCCAGGCACGTGTGCTGTGTGCTGTGCTTAGCTGACCAGTCATGTCTGACTCTTTGCGACCCTGTGAACTATAGCTGTCCAGGCTCCTCTGCCCATGAGGATTCTCCAGGCAAGAATACTGGAGTGGGTTGCCATTCCCTTCTCCAGACATGAAGGGTACTACTTAGCGAAAGAACAAAGACAGGCTTTATAGGCATGAGAAGGACATTATCAGGAGAAAGGCCTGGCCGGTCAATTGGTTTTTTTTTTTAGAAAGATTATGCTGGCCCCAGGTGTAGGGGTTAGGCCCAGCCCAGTGACTGACTGAGGTTTCTCAGAGAGGGGCCATCGGGCACAGGGGCAGGATTTCAGGACCCCTCCTGAGGCTGTGGTGACCTAGAACAGATCTAAGTAGGGAAGTCAGAATCTTAACGATGAAACCTTTGGCATTGGCAGGCAGGGGCAAGTGGAAAGAGGTGAGGGCAGACCGCAGCTCACCCTCTTCTTTTCACATGTGCTCAACCCCTGGCCAACAGGGTATGTGGACGTGGGGTTGATCCCGGTGGGCGCCCGCGAGATCCGCATCGTGGAGGTGGCGGAGGCCGCCAACTTCCTGGCCCTGCGCAGCGAGGACCCGGATAAGTACTTCCTCAATGGCGGGTGGACCATCCAGTGGAATGGGGACTATGAGGTGGCAGGCACCACCTTCACGTACGCCCGCACAGGCAACTGGGAGAACCTCACATCCCCTGGCCCCACCGACGAGCCAGTCTGGATCCAGGTGACTGCCTTCCGGGGCCAGGCTGGGGTGGGGCAGAGGTGGAGTGTGTGGGACCTAGCCCTGTGGCAGGAGTGAGCCCTGGGGCAGTCACGGAGCCTGGCTCTGAAACGGGCCCATGGAGTAGCCCCAGGTCCCAGGGGTAGCTGAGGTTAGCTCCTTTAGGATGGGTGTCAGGTCTGGGTTGCGGGAGAGGCCACCTCGTGCTCACAGGGCCCCCGCCTGCCTGCCCCAGCTCCTGTTCCAGGAGAGCAACCCCGGGGTGCGCTACGAGTACATCATCCACAGGGAGGCGGACGGCCACGACCACATCCAACCACCTGAGTTCTCCTGGCGCTACGGACCCTGGTCCAAGTGCACAGTCACCTGTGGAACAGGTGAGGAGGGGGTGGGCAGGGCCGCAGCCCGGCGGGGCCTTTGTCTCTGGGCAGTAAGGCCCGGCTTCAGCCTCTGACTCATTGCTTATTTGTGGGGCTGCTCTGAGCTTGGAATGCTGCTTCTGGGCCTCAGTTTCTTCATCTGTATAATGGGGCTAGCAGTGGTCCTATCTCATAGGTCCACTGGGAGAGTAATCAAGGTGAGGCAGGCACGGCACATGGCACTTGGCCAGCTCGTGTGTCTCCCACAGAGAGGCGCCAGCTGCCCCTCCCTCTTCTCGCTGCTCAGCTCTGACAGGTCCTGTGCCAGCACTTCTGCCCCACACCTGGGACTTAACCACGTCATCCTCCTGGAGCCTTACCTGCATCCCCATCAGGATGGGCTCCTCCCCTCCTCCAGCTTCCCCAGGCACCGCTCCTCCATGGGGCCCTCCTGTCTGTCCTGGGAGCCTGGAGCCTAACTCGTCTAGGCTGCTGCCCCCTGCCATGAGGAGGGTGAGGAGGAGGGGAAGAAAGGAGATGACGGGGAGGGGCAGCCAGGATGTGACAAGGATCTCCCCACCCCACTCTGAGCCTCTTAGCCCAGTGGCCCCATTATTCACCACATTTACTTATTTCTTTAAACTCTTTCTAAAATGTGTAACAACTTGATGCTGCCCTCCCCGTGGTTCCTTCCATCTCCCTGCCCATCTCCCTGCCCATCCCCCTGCCCTCAGTGTTCAGGGGTCTCCGTATCAGGAATCTGGGACAGAGAGAGAGGCGCGTTTGGACATTCTTTGAAATGCTGTTATGATTATAAAGTGAACAGTGACGCACTGAAGCTGGACAGAAACCTTCAGAAGCTGTCAGAATCATCCTTTCTCATATAAGTGTTAAATTTACAAATGTGAAAACAAGTACTTTTGATGAACCAGACACGGGGGAACTGTTTTCCAGCAAACTGGTGTCTCCCCACGTGGACAGAATGGAATGTGTTGAGCAGCAAGTAGCAGGATCCTGACAAGGGGTGGCTGGGGCAGTCAGGATTTACATGTCTCTGCAGTGAGAAGCCCCAGGGTGCACAGTCCAGGCTGGTGGCATGGCCTGCCGTGTTTTTAGGGACCCCTCTCAGCCCCATCTTCCAGTCGTGTGTATCACAAGATGGCATCCTTGGCTCAGGCTTCTTGCCAGCTCTAGGTGGGAGGGAGAAGGGGCAAAGGGAAGGACGTGTGCCTTTTTCTCTCTGGCACGACTGTCCCAGACTCCCTAGCTGCAAGGGTACCACAGTGGGGAGTGTTTGGCATTGTGACCTTGAACAAACCCAGCTTTCTGCTAGGCAGGAAGGAGAGGGTGGGATGGGGTGGGGAGACTGGAGGCTCAGGGCAGGGGTGAGTCCCTCTTCTGTGCTGTAGGGGAGCAGGGTGAAGGCAGAGCCTTCTGGAGCTGGTCCTGTCATTGGGCCTCACAGGTGTATTGGCGGGGGAGGGAGCACAGCTGTGCAAAGGCCCAGAGGCAGGCAGTGCAGAGGGAGTGAAGGCCAGGAACCGTGACAAAGCCAGCAGGGGGCTGTGGGGCCATGGGGGAGTGCCTGGCCACGTGAGCTGATGGATTTCTTTACTGTTTCTGAGCACTGACCCTGCTGGGGGGTGGGGAGTAGACCCTGAGGGTTGCGCTCAGCTGTGGTTGGATTTAGCGCTAGCTGTGCTCTCACCATCTGCCTGGTCTGGGTTGAGCCATAAGCACATTATCCTTACACCTAGCCTTCCAGGCAGGTGTCATTGTTACTCCCATTTACAGATGAAGACACTGAGGTTCAGAGAGGCCAAGGGAGCTGCCCAAGGCTTCCCAGCTAGGAAGCTGCGGGCTAGACGCCCGCCCCCTGCCCCCCCCACTGACCCTGCACACTCTGCTGCCTCCGCAGGGGCGGGGGGTGAAGGCTAGGAGGGCAGTGAGCAGGGGGCAGTGGGGGCCTCCCTTCACCCTGACGGAGGCAGTGAGGCCCTGTTCTGGACGGGTTCTGAGCAGAGTGGGTGCAGCTGCGTCTTTGGGTGCAGGGTGGTTCGGGCAGGGGGCTCCCTGGGTGCCGGGCCCAGGCTGAGCCCCCATGGCCTCCCAGGCATGCAGAGGCAGAGCGTGCACTGCACGGAGCGGCAGGCAGGGCCTGTAGACGAGAGGCACTGTGACCCCCTGGACCGGCCAGATGACCGTCAGAGGAAGTGCAGCGAGGAGCCCTGCCCCGCCCGGTGAGCATGCCGGGCGCCTGACTCCAGGCCTCACCTGAGGCCCTGGAAGAGCAGAGGGAGCTGGGCTCTGGGCCCGACTTCCCAAGGCTGGAGCCCCAGCTTCTGGTTGCCCCTGACCTCAGCCTGGGCTCCTCAGTAACCAAGACTAGCCAGGGACATCCCCGGTCACTCGTGCTTGGGTCCCGGGATGTGGACACAGGCCAGGTCTCCCAGCGGTGAAGGCGGCAGGAGCAAAGGGGACTGTGCCCTGTTGCTGGGCTTTGGGCACCAGAGTGCCATCTCGGGCTTGGAGCTCCAGGGACCCCTCCCCTGGACTTAGGCCTGACCCTCCCTGAGTCCCAAGTGCCCGAGATTGCCAGGCGGCCCCACACTCAGCTGCCCTTGTGCGCCCCCAGGTGGTGGGCAGGTGAGTGGCAGCTCTGCTCCAGCTCCTGCGGGCCTGGAGGCCTCTCCCGCAGAGCCGTGATCTGCATCCGCAGCGTGGGGCTGGATGAGCAGCGCGCCCTGGAGCCGCCTGCCTGCGAGCACCTGCCCCGGCCCCCTGCCGAAACGGCCTGCAACCGTGATGTGCCCTGTCCGGCCACCTGGGCTGTGGGCAACTGGTCTGAGGTGAGCATCAGCATGGATGGGGTTAGCTCTGCTGTTGGTCTTGGACTACAGGGAGGCAGAGACAGTGTTCACAGAACCCCTACTACTGGGCACTGTGGTGGGAGGGGACTGGGGCATTCCAGGTCTGGCCCCATCGCCAAAGCCTCAGAGGCTGGGATGTCCGGGCAAGCCACAGTCACGTTCTTCAGCGGCCAGGGGCCTGTACGCTGACTCTGAGCAGCTGGCTGGATTCCTTGTAAGGCCCCGGCTCCTCCTGGCCCGAGTCCCTCACCTGGCCTTCCCTTTAGTGCTCAGTGACGTGCGGGCCAGGCACTCAGCGCCGGAGCATCCTCTGTACCAATGACACCGGGATCCCCTGCGACGAGGCCCAGCAGCCAGCACGCGAGGCCGCCTGCCTCCTGCCACCCTGCCCCCCGGCCCTGGACACTCTGGGCCCTGAGGGCTCAGGCAGCGGCTCCTTCAGCCCTGAGCTCTTCAATGAGGTGGACTTCATTCCCGGCCACCTGGCCCCGCGCCCTCCGCCGCCCTCATCACCCAAGCCAGCCAGCATGGGCAATGCCATCCAGGAGGAGGGCCATGAGCTGGGCCTGCCGGGGCCCGTGTTCGTCGACGACTTCTACTACGACTACAATTTCATTAACTTCCATGAGGACCTGTCCTATGGGCCCTTCGAAGACCCTGACTCAGACCCGGTGGGCACAGGGGGTTGGAGACCCCCACCCCCAAGCACTGCTGCTGAGCCCCCCACGGGGACCCCCGTTCCTCCCACAGAGCCTCCTGGGACTCGGGATGAGGGGGCACTGGGAGATGGGTCCCCTGCCCCTTGGCCCAGCCAGGCTGGCCGTTCCTCACCCCCACCCTCGGAGCAGACCCCTGGGAACTCCCTGGTCAATTTCCTACCTGAGGAAGATGCCCCTATTGGCGCCCCAGACCTTGGGCTCCCCAGCTTGCCTTGGCCCCCCACTTCTGTCAGCATGGAGACGCCTGCTGCCCCTGAGAGCCAGAACCAGGTCCTGGGAGCGGAGGACAGCCAGAGCTTGCCGCCCCCTCCCCAGTGGGAGAGGACCAATGAGGTTTCTGATGATGAGGAAGCCTTAGGCCGCGGAGCCTCTCACCTGCCCCAAAGACCCAGCCCCAAGTCACCCTCTCTCTCCTCTTTTGGTACTACCCACTCCTCTCCTAGTCCCCGCACAGTAGAGCTGTGGACGAGTGGGACTGTGGCCTGGGAACCAGCTCTTGAGGGTGGCCTGGGGTCTCTGGACAGTGAGCTGTGGCCCACCATGGGGGGCGCCCCTCCCATTCCAACTCCCACCGCCACCCTGCCAGACACTCAGGGTACGGAGAGCCCCCTGGAGCCGGGGACTGCCACACTTTCAACCCCAGGACCAGCTCTGCAGGACCTGCAGACCTTGGCGATGCCAGGAACCTTCCTTCTCATGGCCCCCACTGGGCTGGGGCACATGTCTTGGGTCACTCCCCAGAGCCTGGGCCCCTTGGGCCAGGCTGAGCCCCCCAGCTCCAAGATGCCCCCAAGCCCTGGGCTGCTGTCCACACCAGCTCAGGACAGTCCAGCCAACAGCAGCAGAGCCCCTGGGCCTCTGGACCCCAGCCTGGTCGAGGAGGCGTTCCCCGTGGACCTGCTGCCTGCCAGGAATGCCAGCTGGGAAGTGGGGAACTGGAGCCAGGCAAGTGCTGCTGGGGTCTGGGCAGGCCAGTGTGTGTGGGGGGTGGTGTCCTCACTGAAAGTGGGCAAAGCCATGTCTGTCCTGCCTTCCAGGCAGTGAGGACTTAGGAACTGACAGCCAGAGGTGGGTGGAGCCTCTGTGGGTGGGAGGAGCATTGCCCCAGCTCAGTCACACTGCCCCCCCATGTGCCTCTGGGGCCGGTCTGCCCCACTGGGCCTCAGTTTCCCTTCTGAGCAATAGGGTGGGCTGAGGGGGCCTGGGGCCCCCAGAGGCTTATTCCTGAGTAGCACAGAAGTTGCTGGGAGGGCAGGGCCAGGCACAAGTGAGAGGCAGCCAGGGGGAGCAGCTTTCTCATACTCTGGCTTGCATGCCCCCAGGGACAAGGAGCTCACCCCAGATAGTTGTATTGATGGGGAAGCTTCCTCCCACACTCCCCAGGCCCAGGGCCGCCCACCACGGTTTGCTGAGGCTCAGCCTGGCCCCTTCAGAAGCAGCTCGGTTCCTTGCCACCTGGCTCTCCCCTAGAGGCCCCCTGCTGTGTCAGGGCGAGGGTCTCGGCTGCATGGGAAGAAGCTGGCCTGTGTGCACGCAGTCCCACCCTGCCCTCCCCTCTCCAGATTGTCACTGGAGAGGAAGTGAGCTGCTTCTGCTCAGATCCCTAGTTTTGGTATGGGAGGGATGGGCTGAGGCTGAGACTGAGGTGCCAGACTTCCTTCTCCAAGTGACTCAGGGAAGCAGCGAGCCTTAGCAGGGCAGCTGGGCCACCCCGCATGTGTGAGCAGGAACAGTGGACTTTTCATCTTCTTGGCCCCCTTGGGAGGTGGGTGGAGGAGCCCATTTTTCAGATGAGGAAACTGAGGCAGTGTCTGATCCCTCTCACCTGGCTGGGAAGCTGGCGGGCATGGGGATCCACCCACCCTCATGGCCACTGGGTCCCCTGCCCCCAGTGCTCCACCACCTGCGGCCTGGGGGCTGTCTGGAGACTCGTGCGCTGCAGCTCTGGCCAGGAGGAGGACTGCGCCCCCGCTGGCCGACCCCAGCCCGCCCGCCGCTGCCACCTGCGGCCCTGTGCTGCCTGGCACACGGGCAACTGGAGTAAGGTACGTGAGGGAGGCGGCTGGCAGCCCCAGGGCACGGGCGGAGCCCTGGGGCCCAGGCCTGTGTTTGGGATCAGCCGCAGCCACCACCAATCAGCAGGCTGGGGTCCGTGTGCACAGTTTTGCACTTTAATTTCTAGTCTCCAGGATGCCCCGGCCTGCCCCAGGCCCCTTCTCTTACTGCCTGTATCCTTTTCTCTGTACTTTCTGTAACCCTCAGGATTTCATTTTCTCCTCTGTTCCTCTCTTTCTCCATCTGTCCTGTCCTGGGGCAGCCCCTGGCCACACCACCCTCTGCCCGAGGCTGGTCAGCCATGGCCTCTCCCTGGGACTCTCAAGGGACCTGCCCTGGCAGTGGGGCTGGTGTGGGAGGGGAGTCCGATGCTCGCCCCACCCCCGCTGGGTTCTGTGTGTGCACACATGGGACCCTCGGCCTCCAGTGTTCCCGCAGCTGTGGCGGGGGCTCCTCCACACGGGACGTGCAGTGTGTGGACACACGGGACCTCCAGCCCCTGCGGCCCTTCCACTGCCAACCGGGGCCCGCCAAGCCGCCCGCCCGCCGGCCCTGCGGGGCCCAACCCTGCCTCAGCTGGTACACCTCTTCCTGGAGGGAGGTGAGGCCCAGAGATCTGGGGATGGGAGTGAGTGGGGGTGTCCTCGGATGCTGGCAGCCCCCAGACCCTTCCCCTGCCCTCCCAGTGCTCCGAGGCCTGCGGCGGTGGTGAGCAGCAGCGTCTCGTGACTTGCCCGGAGCCAGGCCTCTGCGAGGAGGCGCTGAGACCCAACAGCACGCGGTCCTGCAACACCCACCCCTGCACGCAGTGGGTGGTGGGGCCCTGGGGCCAGGTGAGCAAGTGCGGGGGTTCAGGGCGGGGAGAGGGCCTGTGAACAGGGCCTGTGGACAGGAGGCCCTGTATTAGCAGGTGTCCATCAGACCTTTTTCACGTAAAGAGCTGTTGAGTTGCATGCCAGGGTCCCTGTGGTCTCTGCAGATGCAGTGGTAGCCTGACAAGGTCCCTGCCTTGCTGGAACTCACGACCCACCAGGGAGACAGACCAAAAACAAACAGACATGCGTTGTGATGTCAGGGAAGGCCTTCTGAGGAGGGGATCTTAGAGTGAGACCAGCAGGGTCTGTGCTGTCGAGGGGAAGCACGCAGGGAGCAGCACATGCAAAGCCCTGGAGCAGGAGTGATGGATGCAAGGGCTGCTCAGGAGACCAAGCAAAGGCCAGATGGGTGGAGGGGGTACGGGAATAGCCAGTGAGGCCTCAGCTGGGCAAGACCCTTCCTGCCAGGCCAATTGGGAACTCACAGGTTTGGGAATCTGAGTCCTTGACCCACTGGGGGACCTGCCAAGGGACCCTGGGAAGGTTGCTTCACCTTGCTGGGCCTCTGTCGTCTCATCTGTAAAATGGGGTTGTAAGGATTAGATGAAATCACACGGCGAGGCACTTAGCACAGGGCCTGGCACAATCTTGGCACAGATTTAATTCTAGGGCCTTTTAAAAGCATCAGAGCCCAACTGACAGGAACAGAGCCTGACTGGGGACGGTGGGCCCTTATGAGAAACCTTGTCTCCCTCCCTTCTGCTGCCCATGGGTCCCCCAGCAGTTCCCCCATCCCCGGGGCATGTCCCATCCCATATGAGGGGCTGACAGCTTCCCCCTACCCACCCCCACCCTGCCCCGTTCCTGCAAGTGAACACCTGGTGGCCTCTGGGGACAGACCTGACCCTCTGAGGAGGCTGGAGGGTTGGGGCTGGGAACCAGGAGCCAGGCTTCCTGGAGAAGGCAGCCGCTGCCCTGGGGATGGCCTGGGATGCCCCCCCTGCAGGGCTGGTCCGGGGGATGTTCACCCCCCGCCCCTGCTCCCCGCAGTGCTCAGCCCCCTGTGGCGGCGGTGTTCAGCGGCGCCTGGTCAAGTGCGTCAACACGCAGACTGGGCTGCCCGAGGAAGACAGCGATCTGTGCGGCCACGAGGCCTGGCCTGAGAGCTCGCGGCCGTGCGGCACTCAGGACTGTGAGCTCACCGAGCCGCCACGTGAGTGCCCCACCTGGCTGTCTGCCTGGGGGCGGGGTGGATGGTGGGGAGATGGGACTCATGGAACTGTCCCCCCAAAGCACAGGCTGACGGATGGGGTGCCACACAGAGGCTGGGGCAGTGCTGGGGTCAGAGCAAGGGGCGTCCAGCCCTGCAGGCAGCTCCTAGCTTAGGGAGGAGTAGCAGCAGCCTGGCCCCCAGCGAGCTCCTTTTCCCTCTGGGTCTCAGTTACCCCCTCTTCCTGGAGTGAGGCCAGGGATGTCCCTGAGACTGTGGGGCCCAGGCCTGGGGGAAGCCCCCGCCCCAGTTCTGGCCAGAGCAAGCTGTGTGACCCTGGGAAAGGACCTCCCTCCTAGGGCCCTGCTCCCAGCAGCTGGTGGCTTCCTGGCCAGCTGGGTCCTCCTGGAGAAAGAGCCTGAGCCAGAGACACGCACATATACACACTTGCGCGCGCGCACACACACTTCCTTCCTGCAGCCCAGCCGCCGCCCCCCCCCCCCCCC